GCATGCAGCTCAAAGCTATTCAAGTTTTAATCTTGTGCAGTCGGGGCAGTGAGGCCTTCAGATGGTTTACATGAATCTTACATCTGCATAGTCTGAGATTACTTCTCTAAACCCGACTGAGGCAGTCTCAGGTCCACAAACAGGACAGAAGACTGACTCACGTTTGTGTAGAAATGAGAAACTACGACAGGTTTTACAGTGATTTGGGAAACAGACTCATTTCAGCTGATTTGTGTCCGTGTAGAAAGTGAAGATTTTATTTCCTAAAACAGGGAAAAGTTCACATTACGACTGTTGACTCGTTTCACTGATGGATTAACGGAGTTTTCTTATTAACAGCTTTGTTTGCTCTGCTCCTGTACAGATGTCCTCTGGTGGTAACAGATGACATCATGTTCCCAAATATTAAAAACGTACGAACCCAGTCAGCTTAACACGAGTGATTATTATTCTGCTCTCAGTTTTACTCTCACTCTGATTATAATTATGAAGAACACCCACCCCCACATCTCTCTGCACATACTGAAAGAATCAGCGTGGCATAAATAAATCTGCCACGCTGAAATCTGGAGATGGCCCGACAAACAGAGTTTAACAAACACGACTGATCATCCAGAAACTGAAAACGCAGCATGATGGAAACCACGGCTATAAACGTGATAACTTTATTGATACACGATCAGAAAACCGAGCGCGTTGTTTTGATCTTGTGGGATTTTAACTCCATCACCTCAAATTTCCCAACATATACATCGTGCAGCGATTTTACCCAGGACGCCATTTTGGCCCCATAGACATTCATCTGAAACGGTTGCCTAGCAACATGTAGTGTTTACACTGTGGTTCGCTCTGTGGCCGCACAGGAAGAAGGTCCCGAGTTTGAATCCAGGCTGAGCCGCGTGTCCAGGTGCACCTGGTGAACCTGCAGTGAGCGTCTGCTGCCAGGTGGGGGCAGTGTGAGCAGCTCTGCTTGTTCGTCTGTGTTTTTCTTGCTTCTCTCAGTCCAGGTGAACTCCCTTACCTGCTCGCTTATCAACCAATCAGAATCTGACCAGCACACAGCGTCCTGTACGTCACCTCTGCAGCCATAAAATGAGTTTTTATCCAGCAGAGGACGCTGCGATGTTTTGATCTTTAATGTTTCTGTAATTAAATCATTCAGATGTGTCGTGTTGCTTTGGACTCTTTTTATAAATGACATAAAACATGAGAACAATGTGATGATGTGAGCCAATAACACGAGAATTCAATGATCTAAATACGTTTCACGGGTAAGGATTATTTTATATTCATTTAGACCAAAATCAGCATTTCGCTTCGTTAAGAGACGACTTCTGTGAAGCTGCTGCTGTTGTTGCAGGACAGGGTCATGACCCCCAACCACCCCACCAGTAAACCTGTCAAAATAAAGGTCGTCCTGCAGTGAAATCAGAATAAATCAGGTCATCTGAGATCATGTTTGATCACTGAGGTTCACAGAGGAGACAGATTTTCACATTGAAACCTCCCATAGTTCTGTCGGGCTTTTACTGTGAAAGGTAAACAGGAAGAGTTTCGTTTCACCGTGAAAGTTGCAGCAGTTTAGGGGCGGGGCTAAGACATTTCTGAGTCAGGTTCGAGGGGTCATGTGACAGCAGGTGCTCACCTGGTTGGAGATGAGGTCCTCGCAGACGGAGAGGGCCATCTGGATGGCGTTGGCCTTGTGCGTGACGGAGATGGCGTTCATCTTGAACTTGTCCTTCCCATACAGAGCGTTGGCCTGACTCACCGCCTCCTTGAACACCTGCTCGTATCGCTTCTGACTCAGCACGGCGCCCACGTTCACCAGCCGCGGCTCGCAGCCGCACAGCGCCACCGAGCAGCACTGCAGCACGGCCAGGAGCAGCACGCCGCGCAGCTCCACTGAGGGGAGGGGAAAGGAAGTGCATTACTAAAGGATTTAGTCCCACCATGGGGTCCTCAGATACGCCTGAGGGGACGCAGACGTCCAGACTGGCGTTTAAATGATGTCGTAACCCCGACTTAATCTCATCATCTGGATTTGTTAAGTCTTTTTGTTCTTGGTAATCACAAAAAGATTTTTTAATTTTCACAAACAAACTGAAATTGATTCGATGTAAGCAGCTCTGCGTCAGACGTGAACATGCAAAACCAAAAGCATGAAACAACATGAAGACACAGAAGACCTGATGATGTCACCTGAACCCGGCGCTGATGTCATCATTCAGCGGTTTATAAGGGGTCATTAAAACAAACGTGGGCGTGGTGAAGACCGCCGTCAGTGCAGCGTGATAATAAAGATTTGTTTTATTTTGGATTTTAATGTCAGAATTGACAGTTTTTACTCCATGATCTGGATTTTCTCTCACACACGGAGACGGCTTTTACATTTCCAGATTTTTATCTCGTGTTTTTTTTGTAATTTGTTTACAGTTTAAACAGATAATAAGAATTTGATCTTTTCATTTGAATTTATGTTTTATAATCAGGAAGTTTGACACTGGAGGACGAGTCTGCGGCGAGCGCGGACGAATCAAAGAGTCTGAATCCTTCGATAAAGAAGCTAAAGTGAAGAAAAGCAGGAACGTGAGGTCAGCTGAGACGGGAGGTGAGCACACTTTGAGCTTCTGTGGGGAGGATTCAAAATCGATGCAGGTGGAAGTTTATCATCGGTGTTCGTGTTCAGTCACATTTCTGTGGAGACACTCGGGAAAAGTGACAGGCGGAGCAGACGGCTGTAAAAACGGGAAAAATCTCACAACAGACTCACACAAACACAGAGAAATGAAGCTGAAACAAACAGAAGTGCCAAACACACCTGCAGAGACACAAAATGGCTCCATGAAGAAAATGAGACATGCAGAGACGACTAAGAGACAGACAGACCGCGAACCACAACGACTGAGAGCCAAACACAAAGTGACGACTGCAAAGCTGCAAAACCTCCGAACAAGATCAAAAATGTAACAAAAACCTCAAGAGACACAAGATGAAGACATCCAGAACCACAACAGCTGCAGGGAGACAAAGTGCACACACCAAACGAGCACAAAAACACAACATGAGACAAGAAGACACAAACGTGTCAGAGACGC